CATTATCTAGAGGAGAAAAGTAGTTATTATGTTCCCAGGAGAGGAAGGGTAATGCCCAACATGAGAGAGTTCAAATCAACATGAGAGATAGAGACAAGTCTCTCCTGTGCAGGGGTGGGGCATCCTCCATGGAGCTGTCTCCTGGAAATGCTTTCCTGGGAGTCTTACCTGGAATGACATTTTAGACCTTGCATACTCATTTTCATAGTGAAATTTGTTTTTTATCATTTAGAGGCTGTGAAAGCCCCACTCCTCTTGTGTGAGGACACAGCTGGTCCAGGAGACCATGTCGCAGGCTCCTTAGGCAGGGACAGCTCTCAGCCGCAGGCAGTCTGATGCATTAACCCTGATGGAACTTCCTTTTCAACTCCCCAAAAGAGTTTGGAGTCAGATATGGCTGATAAGCGGAGTTTGATGAAAGCTTAGAGTGGAAAGAGTCAGGTGGATTTCACAAGGCCAGAGCCAGAGGTCGGGGTTGGAATGATGAGCAGAAGTCATTGTGCCGGCTTCACCCAGGAGTAAACTCCACACAGAGGACTATCTAAGAACAACTGGTGCTCAGGCAAAAGGCAGCCCTTGCCTCTGACATGGCTGTCCACGACTGTCCACACCAGGCCTCTGTTTCTTAATAAACTGGCTCTTTGCTGCTGATTAGACACTCTGTCAAAATCCTTCCCAGAGAGATCTAAGGACCCCAACATGAATCCCAACATATCCAAGACTACAGTATTGGTTCAAAACATAGCATGAGTTGTTGAGATGCTTTTTGTTAAGAGTCAGAGAAAGATAATGTTACCTTGGGTAATTGTGGAGGCCAAAATTGAATTGTGATTTGAATGGTTTTCAAAACAGGAGCAGTGTGTGTGACCCGCTGTGTACATGTCTCTGTGGATGATGTGTAAAGTGGAATCTATTTATTTTTATGCAAGCCGAGTTACAGAGGAAGATTCGATCAATTTGAGGTGATCCTAGACATTCTTCATTTCTATTTAGGTGGGCATATTAATGCCAGTGTCTATTATTACAAGAGTCTTTAGAAAAAAGATCTGCAGGTATAATATCATTCATTACTTGTCATTCTAGCTCTCACCTTGAAAATTACAAGCACTGTAACTGCCTCATGTCTGTGTCAAAATGGATTCATATGAAGTCTCAGCTGCACTTAAGTGTGTTTAACAGGTTTCTGGCATTTACCATTTGCAGTTTATTCTGTGAGATTTATGAGCAGAATTGGAGAATACTTTAGAATGCAGACTGATCATACAAGTCAGTTAGATAAGTGATTCCAGAACTTATGGAAAAGAAGGTTTCATTAAATGTGAATATTAATGTGAACAAGGTCAAAAGATCACTATCAGAATGAATGAAGGAACGGAAATGATTAGAATTTTTCAGAATACCTGCGTAACATTCTTCATCCATGAATGTTTATCTATATCCCTGTATTGGTCAAGCTTGTTAACACTAGCTATGACCTGCGGCAATTCGGTAAATGATAACTTTGTGAACGTCCACGAAACACTCCATTTTCCCCATCACAGAGTCACTCCCACATGTGCGAATATTACTGAGTAATCTTGTGTTTCTTTGTACACATTCAATGAGATTTGGCTGATTTTGGAACAGGCTACAACTCAAATTGTGAAGACAGTTCCGTGCTATTCTGGAAAAGGCCCAGCACACTCCTGATCTGGGCAGAGTTTGAGGAGCAGTCAACAGAGAAAAATTATCCCGGGAGCCTACTGACAAGTGGCCAGAAGGTCCCCTACAAGATAAGGGGTTACTTCCTAACATGCCCAGACAGTCGCCAGCAAAATCCACTTTCTGTAAATCTCCCTCAGGTTCTGGGGGCTCCACCATGAGCTACAACCACACAGGGCCCTTCCCTCAACCCCCTCTACCATCACTGACTCTTTGCACTGTAGCCACGACTGTGTGCAGGCTCCTCCCCAAGTGCAGGGACCACATCAGGGCTGTTCTCTGTGGGGACCCAGAGCTGAAGCCAAAGATGACCAGGAGGAATGCTCCAGGAGCCTCCTCAAGACAGAAGGGCAGGGCGCAGCACTGATCGTGTAAAACTAAAGGCACGAGAACCTGTCTGAATCCTTTTCCTGGGCACTTTTGTGTCATCCTTCAATCGACTGCCCTAGAACTTTCCTTCGCACACATGAGGCTAACTTCCCCTTCAAGGAGCTACAGTGCCTTCTGGGCCAACCAGTCCCTGGGTGTGAGAGCCTGAGCTGACCATGCTGGACACCCATGGAGATGGAGAAGGGTCCTTTCAGGAGGTAACAGTCCCACCCACCCTCTCACCCTCAAGTCTTTTGGGGAAAGTTCTTGAAGGAAATAGATGCCACCATCTCAGAGCCTTTGAGACCCTGTAAAATGACACCTGCTTGGCTGGATTTGTGTGTCACAAATGGAAGTTTCTTTCTGACTTGGGAAAGTGGAGTCTCTGTGTTGCATCAAATAACCCCAGGTGGGGACACTGCAAGAACTCCCTGGGGTGGGATGTCTTCTCTCTGGGATAGTTCCATCTACCTTGGGGAATGTAGGCTCCAAGGTCCGCAAGTTCAGCCTCGCCTGAGAACATGTAACATACAGACTTAGGTCCAACCCAGCCTTCCCAGCACAGTTTGCTTTGTAACAGGATCTACAGGTCCTCCCAGAGCACGGGAAAGCAGTGGTCCCCCTGCCTCACTGACCATCGTCAAATCTGTGTTCCCGGTTTCGGGAGTCTGAAGGTATCAGATAGGCATTCACATCTTTAAAAATTGCACTAGTGGGGCCTCCCCGGTGGCGCAGGCGGTTGAGCACAGTGCTGTGAAGCTCTCTGCAGCCTCTGCAGTGCCGGTTTGATCTCTGCCAGCCGGCGAGGGTCTCACATGGTGCGGCAGACCCCTCCTGTCTCACCCGCTACTCCCCTCAGCAGTGTATTTCGTCAGTCTGCCTGTTCTGGTCCCTGCTCTTTCTCTGGTGAATCCTCTCACCCTCCTGCACATCTGGCCTGCACCCCAGTTCTTATATAAATAATCTTTTTAAAAAGTTTTTAAAAAGTTGCACTAGTGATTTGAACACAGGGTGGGTTAAATTCCTGTGCTGATGTGACCCCTGGCTTCTGCTTGAGTGAAAACAAGATGGAGGAGAGAATCCAGCCCTAGAGCTGAGGGAATGCCCAGGACACTGGAGTCCCAGGTCTGCTCAGTCCATCAATACGTGTGTGTGTGTGTGTGTGTGTGTGTGTGTGTCAGGGATCACCTATGAAAGCAGTTCCTAGGGCCTGACAGTGGGCAATAGGGGAGGATGTATAAACAGGGAGGCAGGAGGAAGGTAGGGCAGAGGGAGAGTCTTGGGCAAAGACCCCACCCCCAGATTCATGAACCTGAGATGAACCCCTCCCCCAGAGGAGGCTCAGCACAGAGGAGGAAGCACCTCAGCACTGACACTCAGGAGCAGCCGTGCTTGGGAACCTTTCTGGAGCCCCAGCTCTTCTCTCAGAGGGAGCACAGAGCAAGCAGCAGATACCATGGAGGCCCCCTCAGCCCATAGATGCAGAGCCCGAGAACCCCGGCAGGGGCTCCTGCTGACAGGTGAGAGGGACAAGTATTGGATTTGGGTGGGAGATGGACACACAGAGTGCTAAGGCAGGCCGTCTCCTGGGAGGACAAAAGGACAGGTGTCCTCCAATCAGGGAAAGATGGCTTCCTTTTTAAATTGAAGGGAGACATTGTGGTAGGAAGGGGACCAGGGACTCAGTAAAATGATACGAGGCAGTGATGGAGAGAAAATTCTGCATCATGTACTCTGTGTAAACTATTCATCAATGAGGCATAATTTTATTTTTTTAAAGATTTATTTATACAAGAACTGGGGTAGAAGCCAGAGATGTGGGAGGGTGAGAAGATTCACCAGAGACAGAGTGGGGAGCAGAACAGGTAGAGGACCGAAAACACTGCTGAGGGGAGCAGTGGGCGAGACAGGAGAGGTCTGCCACACCATGTGGGTTTCTCCCTGACCAGCCAGGAATCAAACCTGCACTGCAGAGGCTGCGGACAGCTTCACAGTGTGACACTCAATCCGCTGCGCCACTGGGGGAGGCCCAATGAGACATAATTTTAAAGACAGAAGTCAATAATAAGAATGTATATCAAGAATACTCTGTAATAAGATAGAACTAGGGCATTAAACCTTGTACTTTGTCCCCAACATCAGAACTTGGCAAAAAATTACTGGGTTGTGGGGGCTCTGGGAAAATTCCATCATCCACAGGGTTTGGCAGCCTGACCCACCACTGGGGGGACAAGATCAGACAAGTCCCTGCCTGCACGAGCTCACATTCTTGGGAAGAAGACAGAGAACAAAGAACTGGAATGTGCTGCTAGGTGCTGACAAGTGTCCTGAAAGGCACACAACAGGGAAAGGTCACACAGTGAGGACAGAGGGTCTTCAGAACAGGGGTGAGGGAGGCACCTGCCAAGGACACAATCTTGGTGAGCAGTGGACTCAGGGCAGGGAGGGGTGAGGAGGACACATACCTGGGACATTATATTTGAAACAGAGGAAATAATACCTCCAGAGAGACTGAAATAATGATGTTAGAGCTGCTGGCTTTGAACAACTGAAGACACACAGTCAAAATGAAGATAGAAGGATGAACTTTAATAGCTTGTGGGTTCCTATGAGCTGGCTACTAGCTGGCCATTCATGTGCAACTGTGACCTATCTGCTATCTGCAAATCACAGCAGAGCATTCCTTGACTACCTACAGAGGGTAGCCCGTATGGAGAGGCAGGTCTGGGGACGCCCATGGTGGTCTTGGGGTAACTGCCTGAGATAACATCATACTTTGTTGATGCAAATGTCTCTTGACATATGGCCACGATATCCCCTTCCCTGTTCCTCATAAAACTTTGTCCCCCATTCCTATCCCACCCTCCAGACCTTATTCCTCATACCATTGTTGCATCATCAGCTCTTACTAGCCTGTGTGCTTTCAATAAGTGGCACAAGAGCAAGTAGCAGAGTCTCGCCTTCCAAACCTGCTCCACAACTGCTGTGTCTCTCATCAGGTTCCCTCCGCGAAGTGGTAACAAAGTTCCTATCCCAATAATAACGCAATACATTGGTGCAAATATTGACTGATTTCTCTCTTCCCTCCTAGTTTTACTCTCATTCTTGATGATTCCATCCAGCAATGGCGGTGACACTGTTCAATCCAGGACAAATAATGACAACAATGATCATCTGGTTATCCGAATTGCTGATTATCTAAAGAATGCTGAACGTTACTTGTGGTACAAAGGTGACATAATGAATGCAAATAATTTAATTGCGCGATACATAATGAACAAAAGTGAATTGCAACCAGGTCTAGCACACAGAAGTCATCTGCAAATACTGAAGGATGGTTCACTGTGTATCTTGAATGTCGGGAAGAAGGACATAGGACATTACACTGTAATACCCGTAAAGAATAAGAAACAACTGGAAAAAGCATCTGTACATCTCTTCGTCCTAGGTGAGTGGTCCCTTCTGCCCTCGGGGTGCGGGTGGTGACTCTACGGCACACACAGAGATGGACAGGCCTGGACCTGCCTCCACCCCCTCTGCTTATGTCCCATGACAGAGTTTCAGCATTTAGTGCAGGACACACAGAGGGACACAAACTGGAGAAATCAGATTGCTCTCCTGGGGTCCAGGCCCTGAAGACTCTCCCTGCAGAGGGAAGGACACATCCAGGGGAATCACTAGCAGAAGGGGATCAGGATCAGGGTGACCATTTGTGTGCCAGGCCCCTCCCCATGGCCCTGACCCAAGACTCTGAGGGTTCAGTCTGGGCCTGAAGAGGGACCCTGGGACCCTCACAGAGAAGCTCTGCTCCTATAAATCCCTGCTGAACCCCTGTCCCAGGAACCCAGGCCCAGGGATCCGGGAGCCTGCACCCCTGTTGGTGTTGGCCTTCTGGGCAGGTGATGGCAGAACTGAGTCACCAGCCAGGGCTCAGCCCCAAAGACTAGGGGAAAAGGCCAGAGCCTGGGCTTTGTCTCACACTCAGTGTGGAGACAGGACAACATCAGGTTATTAGCCACCAGCAAAGGAGATTGTGGTAGTTACAAGAGGATGTTCAGTGTCCCCAGGCAGGCACAAAGGGAAAAGCTGAACCTGGAAGGTGCTCGTCCACCAGGGACCACCTGGGAGCTTCTGAAGGAGACGAGTGATCACAGATGCCATTCACAGGACAGTTGTCCTATTCAAGCTCTAGTCGGTTAATAGTGAACAATGAGGGTCATTCATAGACAGCAAGAGAGCCTGCAAGTATTTACTATTAACTCAACGTAAATTCACTGAGTTCAAGGAGCTGCGTAACTGAATTAGAGTCACACAGACCATGATCCCCCATCAAATTCACCCAAAGAGAATGTGCAGTCACTGCCCTGCCCTCTTCATCCTGGGGCTTCTCTGGGCTCCCAGACAACAACCACTGTTCAGATCCATTGTCCTGAGGGCACCCAGCTCCCAGGGCAGTCTGCTCTGGGGATTCAGAGAAACAGAACATGATCATGTGGACTCTGGAGTAAATGTCCTGCAACAACAATCAGAGTCAATGCAGGGGATGCACAGGCCGCCCTCTCAATGGCCTGTCCACACCTCCCTGCACTGGACTAGAAATCACTAATTCTGTCCTGATGTGGGTGTCACCCCCACTGGAAAGAAAGAAAAGCATTTGCCTTCTCAATCCCCACACTCCACCTGCAAACAGCCAGGTCTACATGGACCAAACCACACATGTGATGTACAGGAAGGACAGAGGAAAGGTGAGTGAAGGACTGAATTATTATCAACCATCTCAGAGAATGTACCTGTGTGCAGAGTCCTGCAAGGCCCTGGTCTTTGTACTCCAGGCCCCTCTTCTTATACCTGATCTTAAATGTTTGTATCTTTCACCACTGAGTGTTAGGTTAGCTGTGGGCTTTTCCTATGAGAATTTTGTTATGTGCAGTAGTTGCCTTCCGCTCCTGAGAGGGTCAGACTTTTGATTCAAACTCTAACTAGAATTCTCTAGATATTTCTTTCACTGTGATATTAAATCTAGACACCTGAAAAAGAAGATCTCTTAAAATGAGAGATCTTCTAAATTGATTGCTGTTCAGCTCCTGAGGCCCTAAGTTTGCGTTGATCATCTTCATTGTCTGTGGACTCATCAAACAAAAGCTACTTGTCTTCCTAACTATGAAAGTCTCCTTTGCTCAATGAGGACAGAGGACAATGTTGACACCTTCACATTCCCTGGCGTCTACATGAGGAGGGGGAGCTTGCTGTATAAGTCACATCAAGCCTAGGGCTGGATGACATAAAAATCCAGGGGACATAAATTGCCCTTGAGCAGGTTGTTGGACATCAGATCCTGGAGCCTATCCTACCAAGATGACCTCAGGGCCTTGCTATGGTCTCCCTCTGCTAATATGGGGATGGCCTGGTGGGTGTGGGGTGTGGACTGCAGTCTTCTCCTCTAGTCACCTACACAAAGTCACTCCACCTGCTGGAGAGTCACTGTCATGATGTGGCGACATTTAGGCTCACCCTAAGTAGGGGGTGCTCAGTTCTCACGTATTACTTTGTGTCTTTCACCACAGGTAAAGAGAGTGCCAGCTCTGCCCAGGAAAAGATGTATGCACTATACCCCAATGAATCTCTGATCCTCAGGTGCCTGACATATGAAGCTGGCTCCGTTGTCCGCTGGTTTTACAATGATCGCAGACTGCAACTCCATGACAGGAGGGTCCTGAAACATAATATCCTCACCATAAGTATGATCAACAAGGCTGATGCTGGGAAATATCACTGCAAGTTAGTCAAAAGATTCAGAGCTGTGACAAGTGAACGCCTCTTGCTATACGTGCTCTGACTGACTCTACTTCATATGAGTCATTAAAGTGTAAATCAAAATTTTTCAGCAGATAAGCTGTTTCCTAACCTTTTTGAAAATTCAGTGATGGGATGGAAAGTTCTAGAAGGGTTGCATTGAGTCAATAAAGCACAAATATGAAAAATGACCTTGTCCTTGTGCAGTGACTGCTACAGCCCAATAGAGGTGCCTCCTCTGGTCTCAGTTGGGCCATCTCCACAGGGGAGAGGTCACCCTATCCTTCAGAGGACAGACAGAGGTCATATGACAGTGGTGGGGGCACATGAGAAGCTGTCACCATCACAGCTCTATTCCTCCTCCAGGGATGTGGGAGTGTCTGGACCCTATGTGAGCCCTGAGAATAGATAGCCCCCATGTGCATGAAAACAGGACAGACATGCACTTTACAAAATGCTGTCTGTCTGCTGATGCTCTTGCTCAGATGGGAGAGGAGTTTTCAGGTATAAACTCTCAAGCAAGGTGCACCCAGAGGAAGGGCATGGCTCTAGGTAAGGTTCAGCCACATGTGCAGAAACCAGCCCTCCTCACACACTTGCACTGCAAATTACTAATGAGCTATGTTTAATTAGGATGGAGCCTTTAATTAGGAAAGTGCCTCCTGAGCTGTTCCCCACATAGCATAGCCACTGGGGCCAGATGTCCCTCCACATGGGAATCACCCCCCCCAGAACACTACATCAGTCCTAGTGCTCAAGGGGCTGCACTGAATCTACTGGGACATCCTCACTTTCCATGGCCGGACCAGCACCTGCAGCTTCTTCCTGGCCCCGCAGCCACCTAACCATGAAGCTTCATGAATTATCTTCACCATCCAAGACACAAGGACACCTAGATACTCAGATCCTGGGTGTGTCCTAGTGGTTGAACATGCAAGGTTTGGTTTCATTCCTTTGCTTAATTTTCCCTTGGCCAGAAGACCCTCTATAAAATACATCTTCCAAGGTCTATTGACCTGTGTACCCCTGAACCCCAAATGAGATGAAGCTTCCCCTACACTTTTCCTGATATAGGACAGATACACACATGTGGGCTTATAAGGGACCACTCCCGGGGGCTCCCTCATAAATACGACACTCAGAGCCTATGGGCTGTGGACACTAGGGCTGGCCTGAGGTGCTGACCTCCATCTCCTCCCTTATCCAGTCCTGCAGAGGAACTCCCTCCTGTCTCTCCACACATGCCTCAGGGAGAATATGGCCAACTCAGGGTCCACAACCTGCCATGGTGGGGCAGCACATCTTCCCAGTCAAACTTGCTTTTTAACAGGATCTTCAGACACTCCCCTTCCACAGCTAGGGATGGGGGTTTCCAAGCCTCACATCTGACTGTGCATCCTGGTTTGTGGGAAGTCAGAGCTTCACGATAAATGCAAAAGAGGGATGTGTTTGTGTGTGTGTGTGTGTGTGTGTGTGTGTGTGTGTGTGTGTGTGCGTGTGTGGTGTCAGGGACCACTGATGAAGAAGGCAGTGACCTCAGCAGTTACTGGGGCCAGAGGTAGACTCTTGGGCAGAGACCCCACCCCCAGACTTCATGACCCTCAAAAGCCCTGTGTCCAGAGAAGGCTTGGCACAGAGGAGGAAGCACCTAGGTGCTGACACTCAGAAGCAGCCATGCTTGGGAGCCTTTCTGGAGCCCTAGCTCTTATCTCAGAGGCAGCACAGAGTAGGCGGCAGACACCATGGAGGCCCCCTCAGCCCATGGATGCAGAGGCCGAGTCCCCTGGCCAGGGCTCCTGCTGGCAGGTGAGAGACAGAATTGTGGGAGGTGGGTGGGAGATGGAAACACAGAGATTTCTGGGACAGCTGTCTCCTAGGAGGACAGGTGTCTTCTGAGCAGGGAGAGATGGCTTCCTTTCAATCTGAAGCGATACAATTGTGGTAGGAAGGGGAGCAGGGGGTTGGTAACATGATTTGCGGTAGTGATGGAAAGAAATCTGAATAGAGTAATTTGGGAAACTATTCATCACTGAGGAATAATCTTAAAGACAGAAGTCAAGAATAAGAAAGAACCGGGCCTCCCCGGTGGCGCAGTGGTTGAGTGCTGGGTTGTGAAGCTGCCCGCGGCCTCTGCACCGCCGGTTCGATCCCCGGCTGCTCCCTGGCCACCGGAGGAGGATCCCACATGGTGCGCAGACCTCTCCTGCCGCCCGCTGCTCCCCTCGGCAGTGTACTTCGGTCCTTCTGCCTGCTCTGCGCCCCGCTCTGGCTCTGGTGAATTCTCTCACCCTCCCGCGCTTCTGACTGTAACCAGTGCATGTATAAACAAACAAACAAACAAACAAACAAACAAATAAAATAAATAAATAAAACATGCCTCTATAAAAAAAAAAAAAAGAATAAGAAAGAACCAGGGCACTAAACATTGGACTTCTCCCCAGTCAGAACTTGGCTAGAATTACTGGGTGGTGGGGGCCCTGCGAAAATTCCTTCATCCACAGGATTTGGCAGCCTGACCCACCACTGGGGGACAACAAGATCAGACAAGTCCCTGCCCGCATGAGCTCACATTTTTGGGAAGAAGACAGAGAACAAAGATCTAGAATGTTCTGTCAGGTGGCGACAAGGTGTCTGAAGGGCTGAGGGTGAGGTCAGAGCATCTTCAGGGCAGGGTGTCAAGGAGGCATTTCACAAAGTCACCCTGAGGGTGAGCAGGGTCTGAGGGCAGAGAATAGTGAGGCAGGGGCCTCCCCAGTGGTGCAGCAGTTGAGCGCTGGGTTGTGAAGCTGCCCGCAGCCTCTGCAGCACCAGTTCGATCCCTGGCCACTGGGTGAGGGTCCCACAAGGCGCACAGACCTCTCCTGCCACCTGCTGCTCCCCTCAGCAGTGTACTTCGTCAGTCTACCTGCTCTGCTCTCCACTCTGACTCTGGTGAACTCTCTCATCCTCCTGCGCTTCTGACTAACCAGTGCTTATATAAATAAATAAATCTTTAAAAAAAAAAAAAAAGAATAGTGAGGCAGGCACCCACCTAGCAAAAGGTATTTGAAAAGAAAAAAAATAATTTAACAGGCACTGAAGTAATGGCATTAGTGCTACTGGGCTGAGGCTTTGAACAACTGGAAACACACACAGAGACCAAAGCATGATTTAAGAATAAACCTTTCTAGGGCCTCCCCGGTGGCGCAGCGGTTGAGCGCTGGGTTGCGAAGCTGCCCGCAGCCTCTGCAGCGCCGGTTCGATTCCCGGCTGCTCCCCGGCCACCAGAGGAGGGTCCCACATGGTGCGCAGACCTCTCCTGCCGCCCGCTGCTCCCCTCAGCAGCGTACTTCGGTCCTTCTGCCTGCTCTGCTCCCTGCTCTGGCTCTGGTGAATTCTCTCACCCTCCCGCGCTTCTGACTGTACCCAGTGCATGTATAAATGAAACAAACGAACAAATAAATAAATAAATAAAAACATGCCTCTATAAAAAAAAAAAAAAGTTTAAAGAATAAACCTTTCTAGCTCCATTCATGGGTGCAAATACTGACTGATTTTTCTCTTCCCTCCTAGTTTTACTCTACATATTCTGGATTCCATCCAGCAATTGCATGCATAGTGTTCATTACAAGAGAAATAGAAATGGTAAAAATGCTAATGTGACTATCCATGTTGGTAATAGTACAAAAAATGAAGAACTTTATGTCTGGTACAAAGGGGACATAATGAATGCCAAGAATGTAGTTACATCATATATACTAAATAAAAGTGAAGTGATCCCAGGCCCAGCATACAGCAGACACCTGCAAATACTCAAAGATGGCTCACTGTATATCAAGAATGTCAACAATAAGGACATAGGGCATTACACTGTAATAGTCAAGCAGGAACAAATGGAAGTAAATAAAGCATGTACACATCTCTACATACTAGGTGAGTGGTCTCTCCTGACCTCGGGGTGCGGGCAGTGAATTTACTACACATACAGGGATGGGCAGGCCTGGACCTGCCTCCATCCCCCTCTGCTGATGTCAAATGGATTTTGAGCATTTAGTGCAGGACACACACAGGGAGACAAAATGGAGAAATCAGACTCCTCTCCTGGGGTCCAGAACCTGCGGACTCTCCCTCCAGAGGGAAGGACACAATCAGGGTAGTCACTCAGCAGAGGAAAATCAGGGTCAGGGTGACCTCTGGGTCCCTCTCTATGACCTGACCCTAGAAAGACCCAGAGAGTTCAATCAGGGTTTGAATGAGGGACTCCTGGGACCCCACAGAAAAGCTTCCCTCCTACCAATCCCTGCCCAACCCCACCCCATGTTCCCAGACCCAGTGACTGAGGAACCCAAGGCCCTGTGGTGTTGGCCTCCTGGGCAGGTGAGTCACCAGCCAGGGCTCAGCTCCAAAGGCCGCAGGGGAACAGGCCAGAGCCTGGGCTTTGTCTCACACTCGTGTGGAAATTCAGACAACATCCGAGGCCAGTTGCCATCAGCCAAGGGGGTTGTGGAGTTATAAGAGGACATTCAGTGTCCCCAGGCAGGGACAGAGGGAAAAGCTGACCCTGGGAGCCTCTGAAGGAGACAAGTGATGACAGACGCCATTCGCTGGACAGTTGCCCTATTCAAGCTCTAGTCGGTTAATAGTGAATGATGAAGGCCATTCACAGACAGCAGGAGCCTGAGGTCACCATTTACCCTGTTTATTGAGGGTCCCTGAGTTCCAGAAGATACAGGAACCAAGTCAGAGTCACAGAGATGAGGACCGCCCCCCATCACATTCACCCCAAAAGAATCTGCAGTCGGTGCCCTGCCCCCTCCACCCTGGGGCTTCTCTGGGCTCCCTAACACCAGTTATTGTTCAGATCCATTGTCCTGAGGGCACCCAGCTCCCAGGGCAGAGTCTGCTCTGGGGGTTGAGAAGAAACAAAACATCATCCATGTGGACTCTGGAGTAAATGTCCTGCAACAACAATCAGAGTCAATGCAGGGGATGCACAGGCCGCCCTCTCAATGGCCCATCCACACCTCCCTGCACTGGACTAGAAATCACTAATTCTGTCCTGATGTCAGTGTCACTCCCACTGGGAAGAAAGAAAAGCATTTGCCTTCTCAATCCCCACACTCCACCTGCAAACAACCAGGTCCAGGACCAAACCGCACATGTGATGTATGGGAAGGACAGAGGAAAGGTGAGTGAAGGAC